TTTCCCGTACTAGGTTCTGAAAGGTTGACTTTGACTTCCATTGTCTTCTTGTCGCTTTTGACTTCAGCTCGACGATTGTCTTCCTCTATCCGAAGTCTCACGATCAAGTCTTCAAGCCTCATCTCTTTGCGTTTATGCTTGAGATAGTTCTTGAAATCTTTCCACAACGGTGGCAACTTCTCAATGATAGCAGTCACTTGGAAAGATTCACTCAACTTCATTCCTTCAGAAATGATTTCGTGAAGGATGAGTTGTATTTCTTGCACTTGGCTGATCACCGACTTGGCATCAACCATTTTGAAGTCGAGGAATTCTCCGACAACAAACTTCTTTGTGCCAGCATCCTCCGTTTTGTATTTCTTCTCTAAGGATTCCCAGAGTTCCTTAGCCCTCATGAATGGACTATATATATTATACAGCGCATCATCCAATCCATTTAACACATAGTTTCTGCATAGAAAATCTCCATGAATCCATGCATCATATGCATTCTTTCTTTCTGTGTTGGTTTCTTCATCTGAAACCACAGGTGGTTCCTCGGTGAGGAAACGAGCCAGATTAAGAGTGGTCAGATAGAAAAATATCTTTTGTTACCACCTCTTGAAGTCCACACCATTGAACTTCGCTGGCTTTTTCCCTTGTGCAGGAACAGATCCTACCGGGGTCGTTCCTTAGGCAGAAACAGATCCTACCGGAACGCTCACTTGTGCAGGTATAGTTCCTTGTCCAGGACCAAACCCTACTGGAGCAGTTGAAGCACTATCCATGTCTTATAGACACAAAATTTCGTCTTTAGATTGTTGAATCCGCAAATGTGGGATTCAGAAATTCAGACAGAATTTCCGAAAGAAAAGAAAATTTTTGAAATAGGTTTAAGTCGAGGCTTGTGTTAGACACAATCTCCTCAAGACGAAATTGCCCCGTTATCAAGTGGCTTAAGAATATGATTTGCTGAAAGTATAGCTTCCCCCACAAGTTTTGAGGTAGCCCTGAACTTATAAGCATTGTATTCATCATCTCCTTAAGAGTACGATTCTTACTTTCAGCAATTTCGTTCGATTGTGGAGAGTATGGAGCCGTTGTTTGATGGATTATTCCAGACTCGACACAGAACTCATCAAAAGGTGATACATACTCTCCACCTCTATCACTTCGAATCATTTTGATTCTAGCAGTGTGTTGGTTTTCAACCTCATTTTTATACCTTTTAAAAGCATCTAGAGCTTCGTCTTTACTTCTTAAAAGATATATTACACAGTACCTTGTACAATCATCAATGAATGTGATGAAATACTTTTTACCACCTCTTGTTTGTACAAACTAGTTTATGGCAATCGTCTCCAAGATACAACGACTTACGATTCTACAAAAGCACCACCTCCTTTAGAGAATCCAACGAACTACAAAAGTTCAGAACTCTTTAGAGAAAAGGTTTGAGATTATTTCTTTCTGAAAGGAAGAATGCACTAAAAAAAAAAGGGATGCTGAAAATGATATTCGGGGGTTGCTACAAAAACATGTGAAGGAAGAGGTTCCACCCTTTCAACCAGCGGTTTTTTCCGAATCGTTCCAAAAGGAAACGTTTCGTCAAGAACACATTGGTTCGGAACCCAACCGAACCACATCGACGCGCAACTTTAAATTTTAAATCCCACATCGAAATGTTTTTCTCTGAATCGAATAGTCCCGAGTGGAACTTTCAATCCAAAATTTAAACGTTCCGCTCAGAGAACTTTGCTCGTTTTCTCCCAAAAGGAAGAAGTTGGACCAAATTTTTAGCTTTAGTCAACCTTGAGCTTGAACATTATTGACTCAAGGGGAGCTCTTTTTATAAGGAAGTTCCTTCCTTCCTCTTGGCCAAAACTTTAGATGTGGGACAAACATAAATATAAGGAAACTTCCTTCCTTGTGCTTATCATTTTTCCAATGTGGGACAAATGTTCTTCCTCCATATTTTTATATTTATTTTGTATAACAACATTTTAAAATTAATTTTTCATTTACCACAAATTGGTTTTAAGAAATTAATAACATTTTTCTAACAGCTAATATTGGAGCACAAATGGTTAAGCATATCATTTAGGTTGTTGTGTAGATTTTCTACAAAAAAAAAATAATAAAAAAATACATATTTGATTTTGATTTAGAATTCCGATTGTCATGTATGATCGTAGTACCTATTTATAGAGGATGTGTAAAAAAAGGGAGCAATATCAACTTTTTTTTAATCTTAATTAAGTCGGTGAATTCATATGTTTTTTCAATCTTTCTTTTAGTTTTTGAATAATTTGCTCTGATATTGTTAAATTTAAATATATGTTGTTGAAATTTTTATGTACAAATCAAATGTCATTATATTATTTTTTGTGGTTGCATTGTAATTATGAATAAAAGTTATTTTTTATTATTAAACAAAAAAATTGAAACCCGACCCAAATCTAACTGGAACCTTATAGGATCACACTCCAAACTCTGAAATATAGGCCCGATTCGCCCATTTTACGCCGTACTATAAACTAGGATTTGGGGTTTATATGTTGTTTTTCCGCCATTGCGTTCCCATACGAGTTCTTAAAACTAATACTATTGATATTTTGAAAATGGGAAAAAACCCTAAAAATTCCTGAACTTGTATTTTGGAGTAATATTAATTCCTAAACTTGTAGAAGTGCCTATTAATTCCCAAACTTGAAAAATTGAACACGTTAAATCCTGAACTTGTTAAACGGTTCCATATTCGTCCATAGCGTTATTTGGTCAAAAAAACGAGTTGACCGATCCCTCGTTGTTGGCCATGAACAACTTCCTTCCGTTGATGGGAATGTAGGACGAAAACATCTCTTTGTCGGCACATATGTGTCGTGTTGCACCTGTGTCAAGCCACCACGTTTTGGGATTACCCACCATGTTAGCTTCGAAGACTACTGCGGTCAAGGACATCTCATCAAAATCCAATGGAACGGTTTGATTTGTGATTAGGTGAGCCTCCTTCTTGGGATTCTGACAATCTTTAGCAAGATGGTTCGGCTTTCGGCAGTTGTAGCAATTTCCTTTGAATTTCTTGGGTTTGGAAGTCTTCTTTTTGTTTTTGAAATTCTTCCTCTTCTTTCCCGTACTAGGTTCTGAATGACAATCTTTAGCAAGATGGTTCGGCTTTCGGCAGTTGTAGCAATTTCCTTTGAATTTCTTGGGTTTGGAAGTCTTCTTTTTGTTTTTGAAATTCTTCCTCTTCTTTCCCGTACTAGGTTCTGAAAGGTTGACTTTGACTTCCATTGCCTTCTTGTCGCTTTTGACTTCAGCTCGACGATTGTCTTCCTCTATCCGAAGTCTCACGATCAAGTCTTCAAGCCCCATCTCTTTGCGTTTATGCTTGAGATAGTTCTTGAAATCTTTCCACAACGGTGGCAACTTCTCAATGATAGCAGCCACTTGGAAAGATTCACTCAACTTCATTCCTTCAGAAATGATTTCGTGAAGGATGAGTTGTATTTCTTGCACTTGGCTGATCACCGACTTGGCATCAACCATTTTGAAGTCGAG